TTTCAATGAAAAACAACCCTTCTTATGTTAACAAATTATTAATACCAAATGAAATTTCATGATTTATATTGAAATAAAGAAATCATCATACTATTAATCATCATAAACACAACTTAAAGTATCTTTATTCTTATACAATTCACTTTTTATATAAAAAAAAAACACCTCATCCAGAGTCATTCAAAATAACTGATTACAAATATAGGCATTTGCAAAAAATTGGACTATAATCATGTTAATTTTTTTCTGTTATATGCAACATCTTTAATGAGAAAGAGCCCATTCAGATGTTCAAAAAGAACTAAAGAGCAATGACGGTATTTCGTTTCCATTTTAATAAAACACAGTAATATAACTTTCATTTAACACAAACAAAGGTTTGAATATCTTTACTCTTCTATTAATTATATTGTATGAAAAAAAAACCAATAAGTGGCTTTAAAATGGAATTCTACAAAATAAAAAGAAATTATGGACATCCTTTAACAATGCTACCAATCTTTTTGTTACTCATCTCTTATAATTATTATATCATTTCAAAACCAAACTCATCCTGATGTATGTAAAGTGCTAATATCTAATGATGGTTCTTGAACTCCATTAAAATAAACAAATAACTGCACTCTTAACCAGCGCAAACTAAAGTTTGGGTATCTTTTCTCTAACTTATATTATTTACATTTTATGAGACACAACCTCATCCAGAGGCACTGCACCGAATGATTGCAAAATTAACATGATTTTTAATATAAAGAAGAACATTTAGAAATCTTGGTGTCCTAAACAATGAAAAAAAAAAATTTCCATATAGATGGTAGGTGATTTCCTTTCGTATAATGAGGTACACACAGTACAAATATCCCATACAGTGTAGAAATGTGTAGATGATAATCAATGTGACCACAATATTAATATCAATAAGTAAATAAATTATAAAAACTGAGATAACAAGAGTATTGATTTAGTACCAATAATGAAAAAAATCGGATTATGCGTTAAATGTCATTTATGTATTTTTGTTTTCATTTGTTATTTCGACAAAGTTGAACACAAATTATTTGGTCAAGGTGTCTTCGTCGAGGTCGTCGTTCATCGCATGCAAGTATAACGGAGTTCTTTTAAAATAAGAGTTTAATTCTGTTCCAATTTTAGGTGCCGATTTGTTCATATAATTTATTGACTGATCGATAGCAGACGATTGGCACAGTAACTGTCAAATAGAATCCGTAAGAATCATTTTTAAGCATATTCAATTTAATAGTCATGAATGAGGTACAAAAAGTAAGTCATGAATGAGGTACAAAAAGTAAGTAATGAATATTTGGCAAGATAGTCAAACCTTTTTTAAAGTTTATGATTCTTGGACATGTGTTACAATTAAGATTTAGCATCTGAGGCAAAGTTTTGCTAATAGTTGTTTGTCTCATTTTCTATGGTTTTACTGATATATGTTTTTTTGGGAGTTTTTAGTCTAGTTTTTTTTTCAATTACATTTACATTTAATATTTTTGTTTAGATAAATTTAATAAAGCAAACTTGTTCACAGCCTTTATAATTGTAACCTTTGTCTGTGAACTCGTTTTCATATTTTATTGGTAAACACTCATTTTTCTAAATGAGACCATTTTCGCTGTTGACTAAATGCCATTGTTGATCGACGGTTCGTCGCAGAGGCTATCGCAAAACCAAGTAGTGAGAACCATGTGTTGAAATAAAATATCAATTATATGGTAATTTCTGTAAATTTTCTGTTAATGAAATATTGATAATCGAAAGAATTGGTCTGTTTGGGTTGCTCATCTATTTTTGTAAATGTAACGGAACTATAAAGAACGGCTATACACGTTGGAGGTGTGGCTAACTATAAGGATTAACCCACTATTTTTCTTCAGAAAAGACCTGTACGAAGTCAGGACTATGATGTTTGTTTTATCGTCGTTCTGTTTGTTGATAGTCTCACGTTTTATTTTGTAAGTGTTTATGCATTTTCCCCTTTTTAAATTTACCTTGGAGTTTTTGTTATACCCTTTTAGCTATACCTACAAGCATGAAACATATCCCATCGGAAAACTCTAAACAGAATCTCTTCATGATTGGCAAACAGTTTAACAGTGATACATGGCCCTGTTTTATAAATACTAGCTGTTTTCTTATACCTTGATTTTGTCAAAATATATTGACTAACTTAAGTTTTTCCTCACATTTATCAAACACTTCTAATCAGAACGACTCCATATTTGATCAACACAGCTTAGCAGTGATAAATTGTAGCGTATGCTTAGCCTGACACGTCCTTACTTTTTTCGGATACTTTTAATGAAGAGTGGTGGTTTACTTAGCACGGAAATGCAATCAGTTTTGTCGCGTTGATGATTATGTTTGTCTGACAGGATTCTTTCGATCTATTATTTTTTATAGATCATTGATAAGTTTATTTAATGACATAGCCTTTAGTTTGACATTGATCTTAACGACTTTCAATACATATTCATATGTTTGTGATTTAGTCAATTTCTCAGGTACTATATTGATTGTTGGTGTGTAGGTTCACTTGGCTGTATTATGACAGTCAATTTTAATCGGTTGTGAAAACTGGAGTACCTGAAGAGATCCACAACCTTCGGCAGGAAAACTGGCAATCCTAGTCAATTATACATGTTATAATCGGAGTCGAAACCCTCCAACAAACGAGGTACACAATCACAATCTCATAATTGTCAAGCTATCGGACACTGTAGTTGAATTTCGTAGATCACTCGGCTACTGACGCCACCTCAGGTACTAATATAAAAAGATCAAATGCAGTTGATGTTTATAATGATTGTTCAATGTACATATCTGTCTGTCAAAGGTTTATTTGAAATGCTCATATCCATGTTTCAATAATGGTAAGTCTTTGTGATAAGGTCCATTTCTTAGGATGGACTGATGTATAGAATAAATTTGAAATGGAAATGGGGAATATGTCAAAGAGACAACAACCCGACCAAAATGCAAAAAACAAATGTTGATTTAGCGGCACAAATAGCACCATTGGTCATGTTGGTGGCACAAACAAAAGTATATTTGTAGTTTGTATGCTCCCTATCAGCAATTTTACTCTTGCTTATGTGTAATGTCTGTATAACTATGTCGACTGTTAAAAAATGCAGCCAGGTATGGTCGTATTGAAACGCTTAACATGATGAATTATGTGAGAATAATATCACGTTCACTGCATGTTAATGATTCCTTGCAGCAACTCCCTGAATAGTCATAAGGTTGAGTTTTGCAAGTGAAAGTTTTTCCCGTATCCTACATACCTTTATTTTAATTGACATGTCAAAAATTGAAATGACTGCAAGACTACGTCACGTAAGCAAACATCAATCAACCGAACGCAGTCAGTTCCTTATTTACTATCGGTAATAGGTAAACTACCTCTGATTGAAATGGATACATATTTCAACCGCATTCGTATGACCTTGGAGATACACGTATTTCAATTGATCATTGATAATGTTTATATTTGTGTTATACTTGTAGTGAGACCTTTTCTTAAAGGTTTTAGACCAATGATTCAATCGTAATCATAATTAGAAAAGCAAAGATGACATGGTCTACATGATCTAAGCGTGTATGTTTTTGTCATCAGTAATTGGATATCTGTATTTTTGTTACTATAAGAATGATTACAATGCATGTGTGTTTGACTTGTTTCACCTGATTTAGACTTTAGTTCATGCATTAAGGGATAAAGATCAACTTTTGGTGACTAGTTTCGTTGCTCAAATACAATATGTAAAAGGTCAACACTATCATTGTATGAATTGATTTTCAGGTGTGCATTTTCATTTTCATTTTTCATCAGGGAATGTATAAGATTTTCTGAAATAACAAGGTGGAGTGCTTTGAAACTTTATAGGATGGATAATCGAGAGAACGATTCAGGCTTTCATAATTAAATGTAGATTTAGCGGCACAAATAGCATCATTGGTGGCACATATTTTTGAAACACTATAAAACATCATATTGTCATCTTCTTTTCTAAAAAAATCACATGGCTTACGGCATACGAATTATGCTCTAAGCAGGACTAGTGTATCACCAGGAATGTCCTCTGCAAAATATTCATAAGTGTTTACAATAAAAAAAGAAAACATCAATGACAGAGAGAAAAATTAATTTTGAAACTAAAAGAAGAAATGCTTTGAAACTTTGCTTGCTGGATTTGATGATTTTGAGACCCTCTACAAACGGTTTTAATCGAGTTTTACCTAGTTATAAGTGTAGGCATTTGGGTGTCAGGTTTCCAAGGAAACCCACGGGAAAATTATTTCTATCCTCCTCTGTGAAATGTGTTTAACGTCAATTAGTTCTTACGGAGCACCAGCTTTAACCTGGTTTTTGTTCCTGTTTATGTTACTTTGATGACAATGCAACTGCCAATGATCTATACTACTAAGTAAACTGATCTGAGGATGGAAAAGAGGAAATAGAGAAGTACTGCGCATGGGTGATTCGGCAAGTACCCATCCTTGCTGATAATTGCCAATTTCGGTATTTCATTTTTTTCTAAAACTAGATCTTGAGAGGTAAATGTTTATGTGGCTTTTTTGTTTGTAATTCAAATATTTCTTAAACGTTACATTATCCCATCTAATTATCTTATAACTAATCAAACTCACTATTTTAGTCGGTAAATATTTATCCAACACAGTCTTATTTGACAGATGACTGACAAAACCGATATGGCCATTTAAAACCTACTTTCTGATATGCATACAAATGCATTGAGTATAATAGTACATCTATAAAAGAATTATGGGCATTACAATCCAAGTTTGAGTATCCTGTTGCCAACAAGGGCAGTTGTGTATAAAATATAGAGCACCATATGTGTCAAATATTTATGTCAGTTAAATCATAAGTGCAGACGGGACCGGGGGCAAATAGATAAAAAAAAAAAAGAAAAACGAAAAACAACATTAGTTTATTCATTTATTTAATTTGATTTCAGACATAAGTACTGAGAAACCAAATGTTCCAACAAGTAATAGAAGATTATCAGAAGCTGAAATGTAAGTTTTATTTTATTGACGACTTAGTTTACCTTTTAAATGTTATCTTAATTTTTAGCTCAAGTATCATGTTTACATTGCATCTGTTAATTAAGGCATCACACATATATTACCACACATATATTTCGCCTATGTATCTCTGTCAAGCTATGTTGATAAACATATTACTTTTTTATTTTGGCGATACGCATTATACTGCCAGTTACTCGCACTAGGTTCAAATATGTTGAAATTATTTTCAGTTACTATCGAATTTAAACCACAATCTGTGCAATTATCTGCTTGAACTTAGATGAAAATGTAATGCATATATGATCTATCGCGTACGGTAATTCGTTAAAGATGGTAAATCCCAAAATAAAATCTTCCCGTATATGCCACTGGTCTATTGAATTAAAAAGATTTCAGGTCCGTATTTCCATAGTGAATTCTTTTTTAAATCGTTTGGAGATGTAATTATTGTTGTCAAGTGACTAACATTGACTTCACTTTCCATTTACAACCATTTGGACGGCTCGGTTATTGTTTGCGTTTCTGTACCCTTGTGGCAACACTTCTGCCGAATTCATAACATTATTGTTGAATCTGTGCCTAGTTTTCATCAAATTGACTATGTCTACAACACGCTTAAATGTATAGTCCATTACCTCCACTAAAATTCGGTCTTTTTCTAGTTGCCAGTACAGCTCCACACATTTTCAGGCTTGGAAATGATATATGTCTAGTATGCGCTTTATACTGATCTTTGGCATTAGTAATCGCGATTCAAATCCTATTATTTTCTGTTCTCCATTGTTGATATGACCATGTTACTTTAGCTAAGTTTCTCTCATTGGGAAAAAAAAAACTGACATGGGATCACCAAACATCTGCGAAATTTAATCCATTGTGGTAAATTCAGAACTGTTCAGTCCATTCGCTTGCATCCAATTCAGTACTGCCCAACAGTTTTTCCCTAGATATATCAGCATGATGTTGATGTGCACATGTAAATAGCTACTGAACAGTCTGAACATATCTTTATTCATTGCAAGCCAATCGTCTGAACAGTACAGAAGTTTGAAAATGAACTGAAAGACTGAAAATGACTTAAAGTTAATAATTTAGTTTTCAGTCTTTAAAGAACAGTTCAGATCAAAATCAGTTTACTAGTGATGGCAAAATCCCAGAGCGAATCGGTTTTGGCTTTGTCATTTGCCGTGTTAGCTATGCAGAGTTTTGGATTTTAGATATACTCAATTTGTGTCTTCATTTAATTTTCATCCTTCGGCCGTTTTTTGTATTTCTGCATGAAACGGTATTCATCTTCACCTTAGATTTAAACAAGCGTTGTTGTAGATCCCATGTTATAGCTAAAGTTTCTCATGTGCTGTTCTAGCTAAATCAACCTCGGCGGTCTAGCAAACAAAAGAAACGAGGATTTATTAAAATTCGTGGGGCAACAATTTTCGTTGATTTTGTGTGTATAGGGAAACCAAGAATGCAAATGTTCATCAAGTTACAACATTTCTATAGGCTTGTTTACAAAACTACAAAATCTTATATTTACTATTTTTCCAAATCTACAAAAATTGCTTCCCACGAAAATAAATGAATGAACAGCAGAAAGAATGAAACTATATATATAAAAAATTATCATCTTGACAAGATCTACAAGCTCAATGAAATATGTCTGAGAGGTTTTGTTTGGCCTTGTCGTAGCCTGAAACAAGGAAGAGATAAACTGTTAAAAGCAAAAATGATCATAAGAACAAATGTACAAAAAATTCAAATTACTGAAATCGTCAGTCGACTACCAGGTTATCCTTAAAAGTTCTTGTTAATCTTTAATACTATAATTTATATATTCTCTATTTTATTTAATTTTAGTGCTGCTTTAATAACTGGGGTTATTGTGGCAGTGTCAGTGTCAGGGATACTTTCTATCTATTTCTGGAGTAGAAAAAAGAATAGAAAAAGCAAATCAGGTATATTTAAATGGCATATAAATGATATTTTAATGAGTAATAAAAAGATTCAAAATAAATTGTTTTATCCAACTCTGCATTAAATTCGATTTCTCCGTCCGTTCGTTTGCTATTTGATTTAGTAAATTTTTCCATATTTTTTTTCTAGGAACTGCTAAACAGAATGACTTTATATGAAGTCAACGTTTTTGCGTCACTTCTTACCTGCTTGATCCTTTATTCTAATGAAGCAGACATTATACAGGAACTTTTAAGGAAGAATGAAAAGAAGGTAGTTTTATTTTTTTGAACTACCAGTTCTGCTATAAAGATGATGTTATCTCACTTAATGATTCAAGGTTTGGAGATTATGTTGAATGCATCTTTTCCCTATAAAGGATACAATATATACAGTTCAGTCAGCCTCATACCTAAGCTTGCATCTAAACTGACAATTAATATCGGTTGAAAACTAAATTTTACGACAAAAGAGAAAATTTCAACTTTCTAATTGGAGCCTGTTCACTTATTTTGGGTGAGCATTATGACTGAGATGGTAAAAATCATAAATTAGCTGTTTACAATCTTTAAATATTTCGAAATACTAAGGATTTGCTACCCCAGAAATGGATTACTTTAGCTGGATTAGGCAAAAACTCACAATTGTACTTTACTTGGTCTTTTTACCTATTTTGATTCGAGCATCACTAATGAGTCTATTGTAGAACATTTTAAGCTTATTATCTATGATCAGTTTATATGTAGCAACATTCCAGCAGCACCTTCATATGGAGTATATATTTCCCAGTAGGTACAATATTCTACAGGATAGGACTTATCGCCGGGTTTCTACTTGAACAAACAACACAACGGTGCCACGTGTGGAGAAGGATCTACTTTTCCTTGCAGAGTGCTTTGGTGGGAATCGTGTTGCTCAGTCTTTAGTTTTCTATGGTGTTTTGTAGACTGTTGTTTGTCTTTTGGTAGTTTTTCGTTTTTTGCTATGACATTGTAAGTTAGTTTTCGACTTTTTTAAGTTTGACCATCCCTTTAGTATTTTTCGCCGCTGCTTCTCAGTAATGAGTTGTAAATTTTCATAGTCTTTTTCCAGATCAGTAAGATAACAACTTCCTGTTTTCTTTTACTAATAGGGTTGGGTTATTCTTAGCAAGACAGTGCATTTGTTCTTCTTGTTTTCGTGCAAATGAAACAACTACTACCAAGAGTCAAAAGCCTATGCATATTGATTCCTTGAAACTAACGTTGTAATTGAATGACATCATATAAAACAGTTAAGTGATATATCATTAAGACAAACGACAGGCATAAATTGCAAGAATTGGGCATGTTTATTGCAAACATTTTTTGTATGATCGCTAGATCAGAATGATTTTTTTATTGGAATTGCAACCTTAGAAGAAGTTTGCGCAACTAAACGTCTGAATTAAGCACATATCAGTCAAAATATAATATCAATGCATTAGATTTCAGAATGATTGGATGATTGCACAAAGTTCTGGAATCATTGATTAGCAAACTTAAATGATAGCATTGAAAAATGAAAATATCTATGAATAAATAATTTCCAAGTTATACATAGATTACATCATATAAATCGATAACACACCATAAAGCAAAACTAACTTCCTAGCACTAGCCAAAGAAATTTGTCTGCAACAAACATCTTAATCTTAACATCGTCTGAAAAGGCTGAACAATGAATTATTAAGTCATGGTCATTTTTTTCGAAAATTTTCAGTCTTTATTCACTGCGGTAAATTCAGTACCATTCAGACAACTCCATTGAAGTCTATTCAGTACTACTAAATAGCTTTTCGGACATTTAAGTATGGTGTTTATGTTTACAATTATAAAAACTATTAAATAGTCTGAACATAGACTGGAATGCTCTTAATTGACTGCAGACATATTTTCTGAACAGTACTGAATTTACCATGTTTACCAGTCTGAAAGTTATCTAATAGACTGAATATGATTCTGTGCTTTATTGTTCAGTGTTTTAAGACCTGACTAGATCAAATTGACCGTTTCAGATCAAAACTAGTTAAATTCTAAACATAATAGTCTGATATATTGTTGAAGGTTGCAATTCTGTAAATATAGACAAAGCAATTTCCCATAGGAACTCCCTTTGCGGCTAAAACTGTGACACTTTTACTATGAAGTTTCGTGAAAAATAATTTCCCAGAACGGAAAGTTTATATGCACTACTATTTTATTCAAAGGTCAAAATATAGGGCTGTGCGGCATATTTTCAACATGTATATGCCCTGAACTTCTAAGCGTTTAAACTTATACTAAAATTCTATACTATCCTTACCTCCATTTTTGGACCTCTTAAGAATTAAAATCTAGGCCCTACCATGTTTTTCTATTCTGGTTACATTCCCAAGTGATTTCTCTATGAGATGAAACACAGAGATCATATCTGGGAACCAGTACGTTAACAAATTAACATATCTATGAATATTATATATCTCCCAAAAAGAGGCGTGGTTTGAGAAACAGCTGTATTTACAAAGAGCAACCTATACCAACATTTATTCAAATAGAAAACTCTCTTAAAACACTTTTTCTCACAACAATACTTATTTATCAGAATTATAGCCTTAAAGAAATCACTGCATATACTCTAAGTTTCCTTTTACAGTACATTTTATACCCCTACCCCTGTTTCAATTTTTAAAGAATTTGAAAACAAGACTTTAATTATTGCCAGCTTACGCTATGTACATGTTTTCTGACATGAACTGTCTAAAACCTGTTTGAAACTATTCTGATAACAAATTGAAAGCATTTTAGAATATTATTAATGTAATGTTTAGTAGTGAATCATTCCAACATTCAAGATTATAAAAAATATCCAATTCTGCCTGTGTCTCCAGTCCACATTTTACTGTATGCCTATTTGTCAATGAAAGTTCACAATTTCTGCCTCAAATGGTCAGTTTAGAATTCTTGTCACAACAGTATCATCCCTAACCATATATCTAACATAAGTTAGTTTATATATGAACTAGAAGTGTTTAAACAAAGCCATATTTACAAAAGTTGTGTTTATGAAAATATCAGTCTGGTGCATAAATTCACTAAAAGTTTGATAAAAATGACTGCTTACATCTGATTTTTGTATAACTTCCTATCACAGTTATTGTTTTCTTTACAAAAGACCTTTAAAATAATAAAATCATAGCATTTACAAGTTAAATTATCTGTTTTATGACCATGGGGTAGGCATTTTTCTCTGTTTTTTTGCTCCTGGGGCCTCACATTTCCTTTTTTTTTTTCCTGTGTCTAGCAATGTGGAATATTTAGTACATATTTAGGAAAGAACACACTAATTTAAGTTTTATTGAGGTCGTTTTGTAATTCTAGCTTGTACTTTTTTATGCCGCGGTTACAAAAAAGCACATTTAGGTGTTACGGCTTACTTTTGGGTTATCGACAGGACAAATACACCCCACCAAAAATATTTAGGAAGGATCAATGAGTTGCATGACTGCGAAGAGTAAATAAAGGCACTTCTAAACAATTTAAATTACAAATATGCATATAGTATGAATTTATTTTGAATTCAGGGCTTTAAGTTAACCATCCATACTGTAAACTGTGAATTTTTGCTGAGTCATCATAGTTAAGGCCCAGGATTTTCTCAATCTTCATGAAATACTTATAAAACTTCTTATTTGAGTTAAATTCTTTAAAATCTCTGAGATAAACCAGATTTTGTGAAATTGTGTATGTTCTATTTTTTAACCCTATTAAGGTGCAATTTTGTAAATATAGACAATGCAATTTCCGATAGGAACTCCCTTTGCGGCTAAAACTGTGACACTTTTACTATGAAGTTTCGTGAAAAATAATATCCCAGAACGGAAAGTTTATATGCACTACTATTTTATTCAAAGGTCAAAATATATGGCTGTGCGGCATATTTTCAACATTTATATGCCCTGAACTTCTAAGAGTTTAAACTTATACTACAATTCTATACTACCCTTACCTCCATTTTTGGACCTCCTAAGAATTAAAATCTAGGCCCTACCATGTTTTTCTATTCTGGTTACATTCCCAAGTGATGTCTCTATGAGATGAAACACAGAGATCATATCTGGGAACCAGTACGTTAACAAATTAACATATCTATGAATATTATATATCTCCCCAAAAGAGGCGTGGTTTGCGAAACAGCTGTATTTACAAAGTGCAACCTGAAACTAATAAATGTTACATTTTGTAATTACTTAATATTGGTTGTTTTAAAATTCTAAGCTTTATTTTCAGTTTTTTAAGCGTAATGAATCGTCTCTGACATTAGCGCGTAATAATCTTGACATTATCATTACATAAGATTGTATAATTTCAGTTAAACTCATGTTTTTAAACACTCCCCTCGAAAGTTATTTTTGCCAGTGTTAAATTCTAAACATGTAACAAACACATCGAAAGAGTTCCTCGGAATGTATAACTGTGTTTCTAGAGAAATACTAGTGGTGATTATTTCGGAAATAAAATGAAGTATATTTTTTATTGCTTAATTATGGTTTATTATATGAAATCAAAATAGAATATTTATGATTACATTGATTATTACCACTGAGTAATAACAGAACTATATGAATTCAAGACTAAAAAAAAGTGCTATCTAATTCCTTTTTTATGAAATAATGTACGACTGAAGGGCATACGATACAGTTACGGTGGAGGTAGGGATTACGATACAGCGACAGGGGAGGTAAGGTCGTTGCTAACGTAAAACGTTATTTTTCGCGACGTCAAACTGCAACATATCGGGAAAAGATGCATTTTCGAGTGATTTCAATCATTAGCTTGAAAATGAGTACATGGACCCTCTATTTCAAAATGACAGTTGATACTGTATGGAGATTATTTGTTCCAAAGTATTGTAACACACATAAAGAGCATATTTTTGTAAAGAAGATATTTCAAATCTTTTTACCAAATTGTGTTTCAAACGATAGAAATGTCCAAGAAACCGCAATTTTAGGTAAATGTTTAAAATCTCGACCAAATTTATCGCTAAACTTATCACATGAAGGTATATTTTTTGTTATATATTCAAATTGACTAATTTTAAAAATAGCTTGTTTGCAACTGTTCGTAAAAAAAACACCAAGGGATTAAACCTGTATCGTATGCCCCTAAAAGGAAAAACTCAGCTATCTACGCCTTTTTAAATAAGGATCAGATAGCCGATCTAACTTAAATCATTTATAACTACATACACAGGCAAAATTTGCTCTCGTGAATTTCACATGAATCTCACATGAAATTTACGTGAAAAAGTTAACATGAGATACACCTCAAACGAGCTTAAAACATGAAACTGACGTTGAAATGTTCATATGAATTTCACGTGAATTAAGATTAAAATCAATCTCATGTGAAACTTACACATGAATTTCACGTGAACTTTACAAAAAAAGTATTTTCAAATGTTTAATAACGAGTGCGAGACATTCCAGCGTGTGCACTCTTGTCTGATAAATTGCAGAACTATATCAATTCGGGGATTTCGAAGCATGTTTGCAATTTTGATTTGATTTTTTCCCTCTGAGTTAAAGTTATTACCAAAAGTGTGACTATGGTGGATACAAAAACCTTTCAGTATGGTCTTATCCTAAAAAGAAACTCTTATTTTCAATAGTTTCAAATTTCTTTCAGATACAGACGAAAATTTTTCATTAATTGGTAAGTGACTTTTTTTTAGCAGTTATCAATCTGTCAATTAAGTATGTGAGAATTTTGTACAATGTTTGATTGAGTATTACTAACTTAACGCCAATAGGCAATTATTGACTACAAACTTATAATCATTGACACAAAAAACAGGTTCTGCAATTGGGTCGAAAGAGATAAAGTTTAAAATGCCACTGAATAACAGTAGTATGATCGTATGTTGGATAAGTGCAGAAATTGAGCCTAGCAATAGGCCATATAAGGATCTCTTAAATCAAGCAAAGTAATCCTGATAGGGTTAGTTAACGCATAGATGTATATACCCATAGATAAAGCTCGTCAAAATTTCCCTACTGTTCTCTATTGTTCGATGAAAAGAACCATGACCAAATTGACTGTCTTTGATGTTTCATGTGTGTTGTCCTCAATCAAGTAACTCTAGCTACATCTGTTATCTGTTGATCTGTATTGACCAGTACAGCAGAATACATTTTCTTAATTGTCTTCTCGAGTTATGTCCCTTCTGTTGTGAGGGTATGTCTATTTTTAGCGCACTGGACAGACAAATAAAATGGTGAAAAAATGGATGAAATCGGTCAGAAATTGCGCATTTTACAAGTAAAATATTGAACTAAATTTGTTTTTTTAAGGCTTGTATCTTTAAATTTTATAAAAACTATGTTCCTGTTAGTTCCTGAAAATGGGAATAGCACGTTGTTGAACTTCTAAAATACACCTTCTCTTTGATATGCTTCATTAAGGTGTCGAACTGCGTCGAATTTGGGAAAAAAATAATAAGAAAGTATATTCTTTTCTTTATTTCATCAGATTTTCTACAGTTTTAGAAGAGAAATTGTCTTTTTAAATCATTTTTATATTTTTACGAATAAGTTAGTTACTAAATCATAGATGTATTTTACACATCTATGGCTAAATTATAATAATTTTATATTTTATATATAATATTAAATTAGTTTAAGTAAAGAGTTTTAGTGTACTACCAAAACATTCCATGTAAAGCATGGTGAATAAATTTTATGGAGCATATATTCAACTTTTTCTATGTTTTCTATTAATCATATTTTCGATAGACTTGTTTATAATAGTTAACATACATTGTTTAAATAAAGTTAAATTGTGATAAAAGATATAAAATTAAAAATGTAAATATGTAAGTATGATGAAAACATTAGTTCTGGCTTAAAAAAAAAGATATCTGCATTTATTAATTTCTTTTCGAGAATAATTTGTTATATTGTTTTACATACAAGAACATTATGTTTTCATAACCAAGTCATTCTAAAATATATATTTTGATTTTATTTATTTCTAATTTTTAGCACGTTTAACTGCTAAGTAGCTTTCGATTGCCAGTTTTCTATTGTCTAGATTGTCAATCGGCATCTCAATGACCAACTTGTTCATGTCATTATCAGATAAGTGTGAAATCCATTACAACGCACATAGAACCTTTGAAGTCAGTGTTTAGCTTCATCTATGAGTTTATACATCTAAGGTAAACGTTAAGATAGCAAGGCTAACTTCTACAGAGGGCATCGGATTTAATATTCCTACTCCAAAAGGACGTGGTAACGTATTTATACATGTCGCACAGTGACAATATTATGCAACAAAAATAGACTTTTAAGTTTCACCATACACACTTTGAAACGAAAAGAGACATGACAGAGTGATAAGAGTAAAACAAAAACTTACACGCACGTTCAAACCTGGCAGGTACTCGTATATTATGAAATAAGCGTAAATAATTGCAAATGAGATCATTATCAGCTAAAGTTTACTTAAATGTTGATAAGGTGTCTAAAAAACATAAATTTGCTGGAATAAAATATTATCTGCAAAAGAAAGAGGCATCTTAACCAAGTAGTACGTATATGTGTATCCCAATACTTGAAAAGAGCTCTTTCTTTACCGATATAATATATAATTTGCTGATATTAGCCCAATTGTCCTCTAGTTAAAAATTCCACTCAAACTGGTGCCAGAGGCCGTCATACATTAACAATTATGTGACAGTATTTGCTTCACGTTGAAGGTCGCATTGTGACTTTGAGGCAAGGAACATTAATGAAGCCACTGTCTCTCTTATTCTGCTTTTGTTTTGTTCATATGCGCGTACTGAATATGTGTCTCACATTGATATTCGATGTTTCTAGCAACTATGGTTTGAATAAAACATGTGTCAAGAAATTATAAAATTTAAGGATCATTGCAAAGTATCCATTTCCGTCCGACATTTCGAAAGTTAACTTTCATTCATCGAGGTGAGGATTGTTTCCCCTATCCTTAATCAATATGATAATTGTATTTGCTTAATGGTATGATAGTAAGGTGTGCAAGACGGGCCGATATTGGTTATTTGACATGGATCTTGCAAAACAATACTTTAAAGGAATTTAAGATTCCTATTTTGTGTTCCTTAGAACGTGCCTGAATAAACTACAAGTAATAAGGCAAATTATTTGATATGTTCCTCATTTATTATAATTGTAATGAACTGTACAAAGTGTGCACAAGATAGTAAAATAATCAGATGAATTTCATTTGATACGGTCTCCATATTTTACTTAAAATGTTTATCGGGCATTTTGTTCGGGATAAAAAAAAATGCTGTTTGAAATAATGTTGTCTGAAATTCTGTCTTTTTTTAATATTTCCCTTTCATTTAATGTGCCTCTCTTTATATTTCCAACCCGTATAACGTATAGTACACCTAGTTTGTCCCGAAACAATGCCTGTTTTGGTAAATGATATCGTTGTTCTAAACTTATATTAAGAATTGAAATGTAGTATTTTTGGTAAGTCCTAGACTGGGTAATTCAGAATCAAATATTAGAGTGGGTATATTTTATAAGAACATTTCTATTATGACTACAACAAATTTAGACTCGTTATACCAAAAAAAGGAACGATAGAGAGATTTTGGATTTTATTTTCCAAAATTAACTTTTTCCGAGGCGAAAGATTTTCATGCGACAATATTTCTTAAATTATTTGAAAATAATTTAATGAATGATTATAAATTCAGTCCAGCTTATACTATATCTATCAATTGTATACGAATATTTTTCAAGCAAGCAAAACAAGTTTTTGCGTATTATTTGTGCTTTATATCTATATATGAAGTCATAAGACTATACTACTTGCTTCTCTGTTCATTTTCTGTCCATGAGCTTAATATTAATGAGTCTACATCCTTGAGTCTATCGTACAAATGACTGAATATTCATAAAATAAAGTGTTATGTCTGACTACAATTTTGCCCATGGCAAGTACTCAGAGTTGACACAATTCATAGAAACTTATTATTGTCAGTGCTCTCAAACTTCATCACTGATTTGATTTTCCAACTGTCTGATGAGTATCCTTGATATGTGTCTTGAATGAGAATATAAAATAATACATTTCCTGTTACATGTGTATAGACCATATGATAAAATTATATTCTTATTTCAGAAGAGGAGCAGGGAGAAATTCAAAGAAATATAGCAGGTATGCTATTATAACCAGCAAGCTTTTATAAAGGATATATAGGTACCAGTATTTCTGTACTCCCGTTTGTCCGGGTCAAGTTCGTTAACCATTGTTTGATTCAAATACAACTTTGTACACTAAGTAATCATTAAATGTAAACATCACCAACTTAATATACTGTTAGATCCTAATATGCAGATGCATATGTGTGTAGGATGTTCCCGTCCATAAAGGTTTTATCTCGCATGGATCGAAGCGACATCAATATAATACTTTGTGATAAGGTAAGTTTAAGGGGAGCCACTACTTGCAGGTCACTGATTGTTCGTATGCAGTTGTAGAGGCATTTACACATCTCAAATCATTGGAGATTGTTTTGACCCACTCCTTTTAATCATAGATTTTCGACTTTGAAACTTTTGCAAAATTTACATGAAGTGTGTGCTTAGGTCAGTTCAAAGGGAACTACCAATGATAAGTCAGTGGTATTTGGTATGAAGTATAAGCATTGCCATTTCTTATTTCCACATAGAGTATTTGAGCCTGCCTCTTCAGTCATTGATCATTACTGTGAATGTTTTGAAAATTTCACGTGTAAATGTCAACATAGCCATTTTACATTCTGCACTACCATAATTACACACACTGGCAGGGAAATATATCTCTGTTTGACGTGTGTTGCAACTACTCCTCCTAAACCCCTAAAAAGAATTCAATCAAACTGTCTCAGGATTTCCCCCATAAAATGTCAGTGTACAATTTTTAAATTGTTTCAGGTGTTTCCCTAAAGGAATAATGGATTTTGCCATGGCTTTATCATTTTCATAAGCTTTTCTTGCAGTACTTTTACTTTTTCTTATATGCAGCCATAATCAGCTTGAATGTATTTTCTTGCTCGTTTTTTAAAACAAATTTTAGGTATATAATGCTACAACTTTGTGGATACCTTTAGTCGATTTTATCTCTTTTTCGATGAAATAAGAAATATTGGAAAGTTCGCTCATAAATACAATATATAACAATACAATATTAGCATCTGTATGCAATATTTCAAAATATACAATACTTTACGAGTCTATCTATTGAAAATAAGATGAATCAATAATAATGGAAAACTTGGTAATGTTGATGATGATGTGAATGTACCACAAATGCACTATTCAATATCATATGACAAGAAATCTGTCAGACCTATTAATAAATTTACATCAAGAAAATATCTGAAAAAAGAACTTAAGTTCTTAACAAGACTTTATCATTTTAACATTTCTTAGATTTAAGCTTTTCAAAATTACCGTTACAACGCATTTACAAGTGATATATTTTGTTCCTTGATTGTTGGTTCCTGATTATGCCCGACCTCCTTTTTTCATACATTGTTAAACAGATACTGAAAACCGTTGAATTCTCACTTTATATATATATATTATATCTATTCAAAGTTGTCATGCTAATACCTTTCCTTACTACAATGTATTTGTTGTACCCTTTCTTTACTGACGTGATTTCTATCGATGAAGGGTAGACTTTATGTTTAATCCACGAAATCTGCTACAACTAGTTAAAGTGTGTGCTCCAAGTCGAAGGTCATGTGACTCACATTCAAATTTACAGCCTAGTTGATGTTGTTTAAGATTTTCATCTGAGTTAATTAATATCTCTGTAACTCAAGGATATTCAAGTCAATACTTTTGCTAGTAACCTTACCTTGAACTGGTTGTCATCATTGATTGATTCACAATACATTTAAGTTCAATTTGGAATTAATTATATATGTTCCACATATGCAGTTTGGCCTATACATTACAGCTTGCAAAACATGCATGTGATACCAAGGGCGGGATGTATAAATACCGAGCCCCGCCAAAAGTATATTACCAAAAATGGACTAAACAGTAAAGGTTAAAAATATACAAAGACAATTAAAAACACTTAAGCACGTAATTAAAATGATGAACAACGTCAGAACCTAGAATCTAGACTTCAAGACCATCCTACATTATTTGTGAAGTTGATACGGAATATTTATCACCAAGGCTTTGGTAGCTTCCGATGAACATTTTTAGAAAAAGGACGAAAAGTCCTTTGACATAGCCCTGGTTCGTCAACTGTCTGCTCAGAGACACTGGTGACATTTAATAAAGTCTGAGTAGCAGCTGAAAGCTCTGAAAAACCCTTTTTGTTTGAAAATGTCCATTCCATATGCAGGTGAAGTTGGTAAATTGCTGCTAAGGTGGGGGACATTTATAATTTCAAAATCAAAATCGTCTCGTTTATCATTGATTCTTGTACTTAGAGGACCGTGTATGTCAAATTCGAGGTATAAGTCTAAAAATGAGGCGGAGGAAGCCGTATCTGTTGTTTCTATAAAATCTTGTTCTCGAGGATATTTTTATGGAATCCAATCAGAAAAGTTTGGATTGTTAATAGAATGAACACCATCAATATATCTGAATGTGAAGTTAAATGATCTTGCTTCTTTTGGTTCTTGTTTTTGACAAGTGTCTGAAGGAACTAAGACGCATATGAACATAAGAAGATGTCGTTAAAGACATGGATGTAAAATACTACAGTTCACCATATGGCCTTCAACAATGAATAAAATAGCAAAACCATATAGTAAGCTATAAAAAGCCCAAGAATGACAAACATGAAAAATGTGCAACAACTATTGTCAATGATTTTATGTCTGTTTTATTTTTACCTCATTTAGATATTTGAATTAGTATTTTTTCAATCGGCTCCACTAACATATTTTTCAGAACAAATTAACAATGAGATAGAAGACTGGAAAAGGAAGGATAATATGTTTGTGCCTACAAGAGCCAGTGATACCGTCATGGAATGTTTACAAAATAACAGTTGTGTGACTTTGACTGGCCCATCGGGAGTTGGGAAATCTTTTATCTGCAGACATACAGCACTTGTTTTACAGAAGATAGGATACAGAATAATAACGATTTATTCACCAATGGAAATTAGAACTTATTATCATCCTGGTGTACATACAGTCTTCATTATAGATGACATTTGTGGAAATTTCGCTGCCAACAAACAACAGATTGAGAACTGGAAGCCGCTGTTACCTGTCATTAACACAATTATTGCAGACAAATGTTGTAAAATTATTGTATCTTGTAGGTTACAAGTGTATAAAGATCATAGGTTTGAAATATTATTACCATTTAAATCTTGTGAATGCAACTTAATATCAGATAAATTATGTCTTACAATTGATGAGAAAAATGATATAGCAAATACCTATATTGGTACAAGTGCGAAAGATATTGATCCTTTATCTCGAAAAAGTGAATTCTTTCCACTTTTATGTTCTTTATGTCATGAACAAAAAATTTCAGATGCCAATTTATTTTTCAGAAATCCTTTTTTTGTCTATGAAAATGAGCTAGACAACTTAAGTAAAAGTGGTACGGAGGGAAACTATAAACTATGTAGTCTTTCCTTATGTGTTATCTTTAATAATCAATTGAAGGAAGATTGGTTCGAGGGGAAAGTGACAGACGAACAACAGCATATGATAAATGACATAAGTGAGTCTTTTGCAGTTAAAAGTTTACCAAAGAAATTACTATGGAAAGTACTTGACACTTTAATTGGTACATTTATTTATAAACAAAATGGGGTTTATAGAACCATGCATGATAAGTTGTTTGATTTTCTTGCTCAATATTTTGGTCAGAAAATGATAAAATGTTTGATAGAACATGGTGATAGTGATTTAGTACATGAACGGTTTATTTGGCAGACATCGCGGAATGAAAAGAACAATAACACTGACTTTATGATTGAAATACAAGATACACATTTAAAATCATATTTAAGCAGGTTTATAAAGGACTGGTCTGAAGGAAAGGTGACAGATGTTTTCAGTAATACTAATATTAAAGTATTATCATTCAGGAAAGAGCTTTTACAGTACTTACAAAAACTGGACAAATCCATACAAGTAACATTGACCAACACCAAGGATACAGAGGTACCAAAAGAGTGTGGAACAGGTAATACTCCGTTGATAATGGTGTGTTGTGATGGTTATACTGACTTGGTACAGTGGATGATACTTAATGATGTGGATGTGGATCAGTGTAGGAATGATAGGTCAACTGCATTGAATTTGGCATGTGGTAAAGGGTATACTAGTATTGTAGAAATGTTACTTGAACGGAATCCTCATGTTGATCTGTGTGACAATGATGAATGTAGTCCTCTGTCAATGGCAAGTAGGGAAGGACACTATAATATAGTTAGGTTACTATTAGAGAAGAATCCTAATATTGATATACGTTCCATATTTGGGAGGACTGCACTGAACAATGCATGCTATAAAGGGTATACTACTATTGTAGAAATGTTATTAAAGAAAAAACCTGATGTTGATCTATGTGACAATAATGGCAGTAGTCCTCTGTTAATTGCAAGCCAGGAAGGACATACTGATATAGTAAGATTACTGTTGGAGAATTATAGTAATGTTGACATATGTGACAATGATGGTTCTAGTCCTCTGTACATGGCAAGCCAGAATGGATATACTGATATAGTATTTCTACTATTAAAGACAAATCCTAATGTTAATATACGTGTATGTTCCAAATATGGGTTCACTGCACTGGCATTGGCATCTTATAAAGGGTATACTTCTATTGTGAACATGCTATTAGAAAGAAATCCGAATGTTGATTTATGTGACAATAATGGCTGTAGTCCTCTGTTAATGGCAAGTTGGGAAGGACATATTGATATAGTAAGGTCACTATTACAGAAAAATGCTAATGTTGATCTATGTAACAAGAAATATTGTTATACTCCTCTGTACACGGCAAGTCAGAAAGGATTTACTGATATTGTTAGGTTGCTTTTAGAGAAGAATCCTGATGTTAATCTTTGTGATAATAATGGACTCACTCCACTACAAACGGCATGTTATAAAGGATATACTGAAATTGTGAAAATGTTATTGGAAAAGAAGACCATTATTTATCAATCAAACAAGGAATATGGATGTAGTGCTTTATACATAGCAGTTACCAATGGATATACAGATATAGTTAGGCTACTATTGGAGAAGAATCATGATGTTAATCTATATAACAAAAATGTGTTTAAGGCACTGACCAATGCCTGTTGTAAAGGGTATACTACTATTGTGGAAATGTTATTAAAGAAGATTCCTCGTCCTGATCTTTCTGACAATAATGGTTATAGTCCTCTGTTAATGGCAAGTCAGGAGGGACATTCTGATATAGTAAGACTTCTATTAGAGAAGAATGGTGATGTTGACCTATGTGATAATGATGGTTGCAGTCCTCTGTACAAAGCAAGTCGGAATGGACATTCTGATATAGTAATGCTCCTAATGGAAAAGAATCCTGATGTTAATCTAAGTGACACTGATGGTTGTAGTCCCCTGATAATGGCAAGTCAGGAGGGACATACTGATATAGTGAGGCTTTTATTAGAGAAGAATGGTGATGTTGACCTATGTGATAATGAGGGTTGCAGTCCTCTATACAAAGCAAGTCAGAAAGGGCATGTTGATACAGTGAGGTTACTATTGGAGAAGAATCCTGACGTGAATGAAATTGACAAAGATGGATGTAGTCCTCTGCAAATTGCAAGACAGGAAGGACATACTGATATAGTTGTGTTATTGTTACAGGCGATATTAAGGGATCACCCAAACGAAAATGACTGCTGTAAAATCATCTGAAATTAGGAGTCAGAATGAACATACTGATATAATAAGGTTATTGATATAGACGAGTCCTGGCGATGATTTATATGATAATGATGCATGTAGTTGTTCTCTTTAATCACATGTAGCATGCTTGAAGGAATATACTGATTTATTAGGGTCTCAGTTACAGAAGAATCATGTTGTCTATGATGGCTTCATACCACTGATAATCTCATATACCAGTAACCACACACTAGTTGTCAACAAATAATTTAGATATAACATGTATAAAGCAGATATTAAATCCTATATTATTGAAGACGGTGTGTTACCTTGAGTTGTATCTTCAAAATGAATTAATGCGATTTGAACATTAGCAAACTACTGTTGTCTCAAAATTAGCAGATGCATATACTAACATCCATTGAAATCATGAAAAAAAGAAGATGGCATTATTGTTTGCAGGTGCTTAGGGCATGAAGGTCTTGTGCTTGTTATGTGAAAATCAGCAAATATAAACATCGTTTTAACTCTTGTCATTTGGTCTTTAGTCTGTATGGCATGTTACATCTAGGAAGCAGATCAGAACATTAAATTAATACTATTTTATAACTCTTTTTATTTGATATTGGTTTAAAACATTTGATATGTACTGCGATACATTCGATTATTTCGTCTATAAAAATACAAAAAAACCGTATAGCTTCACTTCCTATTACATGCAGGAACAGAGGATATGTGTTTGATTTAAATGAAGTAGTTCATGTTTATCTGCTTTATATGTATTAGTCTATCAGTCGAAGACTGTATGAACACTGTATGAAAACCGGTATGTTTTAGAGTTAGTGACGAATTACTGTCTAAATGCCGTATATTTCTTTTTTTCCATAATGTCATTGCTATGATTATTTCTGTTTTTGTCACTCTAAATTTACTACACCATACTCTTGTACATTTACATTATAGACCATTTAATGCAGATATTCTTTCGCAAGGAAAGAAAGAAAAACAATTCTATTAGTTAAACTTAACATTAATACAATTATATATGGAGTACTGCTGAGTTGTAACAGCAACTAACACAAATTATCCTAAAATAGTCATTATAAAAAAATCATATTATATTGAACAATTACATGGCTTAAATAAAATGTATATATCTAAAAAATGATATTCTGTTGACAAATTACATGGTCTACATAAAAAATTAATATATATAAAAATCATATTTTATTGAACAAGTCATGGTCTACTTAAAATATGTGAATCTAAAAATCATATTCTATTAAACAAATACCTGGTCTACAGAAAATGTATATATCTAAAAAGTATGTTCTATGGATCAAAAACAGGGTCGATAAGTAATATCTGTTGATCAAATATATGGCTTACAAGTAATATATATCGACTAAATACATGGTCTGTAAATAACGTATATTGAAAAATTATCTGGTATAACAGATATTGACCAAATACATGGTCTATTAGTAACATCTATCGTATAAATACATGATCTGTTACAAACATCTATTGACCAAATGCATGGTTTGTAAATAACATCTATTGAAAAATTATCTGGTATAACAGATTTTGACCAAACACATGGTCTATAAACAATGTAATGTATAACTAAATATTAAATTCTATTCACCCAATACATGATCTATAAGTAACATATACATGTATATTGACCAAAAACATGGTCTGTTACCAACATCTATTGATCAAATATATGGTCTATAAGTAACATCTATTAACCAAATACATGGTCTGCTACCACAATTTATTGACCAAATACATGGTCTGTTAACAACATCTATTGACAAAACACATGGTCTGTAAATAACATATATTGAAAAATTATCTGGTTTAACAGATATTGACCAAAAACATGGTCTCTTAACAATATCTATTGGTCAAATACATGGTTAATAACACTACAAAAGTCTAAAAGTCTGAAAAGACCAGTTTTTGTCTTAATTTGCATGAATTTTTACTCGACATTCTCCAAAAGTATGACTTGTGTCTTAATTTTTCTTGACAAATTCTCATTTATATTAAATTTGTATGAAATTTACTCGACATATTCTCGACATTCTGAATATGGTCTTAAAATTTCTTGACAAATTCTTGACATTTGAATACTGTCTTGAAATTTCTCGACATATTCTCGACATTCTTATTTTTTCTCAGTATGGCTTGACATATTCTGATCATTTTGAATCGTGTCTTAAATTTACTTGACAGTTTTGAGTTTTACAAATCAAGACCAATATTCATGATATAACTTTAATCTTTATTTCCCTTTATATGATATACTGTTGTTTCAAGTTACACTTCTTTACAACAAAAATAAAAGTTGGGCATGTAAAATAATTGAAAATTTGGGTATATAAATATTTTTACAAATGCAAATATGGCTATGAAATCTAAAGTATAAAATAATTCAAATGTGGGTGTGTTGATATAAAACAATTTCAATGTGGGTTTTTAAATAATTACAAATTTTGATTCCTAAATCTTATAAATTAAATGATTCAAACCAATCATACTGTAGACATATTTCATTCTACATTCATAATATTCAATGTTGATATGGTAAATAATTATTATACCAAAATGTGGTTTATATAAATAGCAAATTATGATGATATACAAATCATTCATTTAACAGAAGAAAAAATTGTGTAATGTCATCTGTTGGAATATATTAAGTATTACACATGGACAGGATGTTCCCCATAAAATTAAGGTATTCCACACCCCAGAGTACACGCAACTGTCAAATAGAAGTTATTGCTTTACCTGTAATCAGCCATACAACTTATCAGTTGACCGACCATGCCGCTACAATTTAAAAAGTTTGTTGATAGATGAAAATGAAAATCATCATTTTGATGAAAAAAAAATTGAATTGAAATGGATTTTCTTCATCAAAATTATGAAGTTAATTATTTTAACATAAAAACAAATTGAATAATTCCCAAAATTTAAAATAAAATTATTATCTACTCCAGGAATAATAAAAAAAATGTATTTATAATGGGTCCCATCAATGATTTCTATAGAAATCATCGGTCTTATGAAATGGTTCTCAAACAGGCATGCATAATATAGATCTAAACATTTTTTTCTTTTCAGGAAGGAGTTATCACAAATATTTATTTTTGATAAAAAATTATAAAATTCGATGAAAATGAAAATCATCATTTTGATGAAAAAAAAAATTGAATTGAAATGGATTTTCTTCATCAAAATTATGAAGTTAATTATTTTAACATAAAAACAAATTGAATAATTCCCAAAGATTAAAAGAAAATTATTATCTACTCCAGGAATAATAAAAAAAATGTATTTATAATGGGTCTTATCAATGATTTCTATAGAAATCATCGGTCTTATGAAATGGTTCTCAAACAGACATGCATAATATAGATCTAAACATTTTTTTTCTTTTCAGGAAGGAGTTATCACAAATATTTATTTTTGATAAAAAATTATAAAATTCAACACTCTAATTTGAATAAAAAATGATTTTGGGTTGTTCTAAAAAATGAATAAGGTTTTTGAATCAAGATGGGAACAAATTCTTTGACCTAAACGAAAGCCCCCCCCCCCCCCCCCCCCCCTCTTTTTTTAGCCACACAAACCCAAAAGATGAGTTGTGGGGTCCAAAAGAGATACAAGACACCTATTTTAGTAAAGCAAATTTGACTGGCAGTTTTGCGAACGGCATAAATCTAAATGCTGTTTGTCAATACCTTTGACTTATATTCCAAGTGAAAACAATTACTTAAATGTTTAATAAAAATAAATCAAAATTAAACTACATGGGGGATTATATCCGAATGTAGGACAGAAAGTCACAGGACAAAAAGTCACAGACAAAAAGTCACGGACAAAAAGTCACAGGACAAAAAGTCACAATTCAGTTTTGAGATTATTTTTCTTTAATCAAGAAAACACTAATTTAAAAAATTTTTTTTGTTTTTTCTTGAAGTCTTTTATATGAAGCAACTTTGTAATTAAAATTTATTCAATAAATATCAATAATGATCACATAATTGCTATGAAAACAAAATGTTAAAGTGGCTTGGTACTTTAATGGCTTCATTGTGCCAAGAAATGTATCCTTTGCATGATTAAAATTCAATAAATTTTCATTTATCAAGGCTTATGAACAATTTCCTAAACTTAAAAATGAATATATGTAATAAAAAGAAATTATTTCAAGATCTTTCTCTTATACATTCATAAAATTGTCAACAAATTATTTGTGACTTTTTGTCCTGTGACTTTTTGTCCTATCAAATTTGTGACTTTATGTCCTGTGACTTTTTGTCCTGTGACTTTCTGTCCGTTTACCTTATATTCAGGGTATTCCAACTTAGTTGCACCAAAAGGGTATCTTACTATACCAAATTAATCCTTGATTCTTCAAAGTTTAGTTTAGCCATAATAAAAAGGAGTATATAACAGCAACAGAATGTCATAAACAGTGCAGAATAAGTCTGTTCACATTTCCGGCGAAATTTATACTGTTGAGATAGTGTCAAGACATATTTAAGACTGGCAAGAATGTGTCGAGACATATTCAGACATTATTTAGAATGTCAAGAATATGTCAAGACATATTCAGACATTATTAAGAATGTCAAGAATATGTCAAGACAGATCGAGACAAATTTAAGACAGTCAAGAATTGGTCGAGACTAATCCAGACTCTTATCAGATGATACAGGAAGTGTCGAGAAATTTTAAGACAATGTTCATACTGTCAAGACACTTGTCAAGAAAAATCAAGAACCTTATTAGACAAATTCATACTATGTCAAGAATTTTTAAAAATTATTCAGACAAATTAAGAATGTCGAGTAAAATTTCATGCAAATTCAGACAAAAACTGGTCTTTTCAGACTTTTTGACTTTTGTAGTGTAAGTAACATGTATTGACCAAATACATGGTCTGTTACCGATATCTATTGACCAAATGCATGGTCTAAAAACATCTAATGACCAAATACATGGACTGTTACCAACATGTTTTATCCAAAAACAAGATATGTTACCAACATGTATTGACCAAATACATGTTTACATGTGTATAAGTAACATTTATTGAACAAATGTTCTACCTAAAATGTATATATCTAAAAAATCATATTTTATTGAACAAATACATGGTCTACATAAAATGGATATAGCTAAATATCATATTCTGTTTAACAAATAGGTGGCCATGTACAATGCATATATATAAAAAGCATATTTTATTGAATAAATACATGGTCTACATAAAATATATAAATCTAATAATCATATTCTATTGAGAAAAAATACATGTGTACATACAATGTATATATATATCTTAAACGAATTCTAATGAACAAATATATGGTTTATCACCAACATCTATTGACCAAATACATTGTCTTTAAGTAATATCTATTGACCAAATACATGGTATATAAGTAACACCAATGAAACAATTACATGGTCTATTACCGACATATATTGACCAAGAAAATGGTCTATATGTTACAGTGAATTTGTATAATCTTGCATTTTCACTAAAATCATTAGTAATCATATATAATCCCTGAAATGACCAGTGAATTTACATAATGAATGAACATTTTAAGAATTATTCTACAAATTCCATTTTTCAGGGATTATCAATAATACAAAGATTCTCTGTTTGGTAACAATAAATCAAATACAGACAAATAAGTCTTATGCATAACCTCTTTATGGTTTAAGAGGACAGTTTTCATTCCCTGTCCATTTATCAAATCTTATTAAAGTGAACAGTTATTCTGGTGACATTCTACATGTTCTATTTAATCAAATTTTATTAACAAATTACATGGTCAATTTGTAATTTATTCTTGACCCAAAACGGTTTATTTTATATGTAAATTACATTTACCAAATTCATGGAACAATTTTTCTACATGATCTTTTTGACATTTCAAATGTTTTATGTGTATGTATGATCTTGTTCAACTACATGGTTTTGCTCTATATACATGATATACTTGATAATAACTTAACAATGCCTATGAATTAAACTTGTTGCATAGATTTAAATCATGCTCTATATGTAACATGAATTAACTACTTTGTGTATACTAATATACACGGTTTGTAAACAATGAATTTATGTATTTAAACTTAACGTTCTATTGACCAAATATCTTGTCATTTCGTTACTTTTTGACCAAAAACATGATGTTTTTTAAATGTAAATACCATTTGTCAAATACAATGCACATGGTATAATTAAACTCACCATAGATGCCAGGATTGAAATTTTGTATTTGCGCCAGACGCGCGTTTCGTAAATGTATCTATGTTCAACTGTTCTGTATATATGTATATGTATGTACAAGTATGATCTGTGCCAACACATGGTTCGACTCTAAATACCTGGCTGATAAATGCTTACATAAAGCATATGAATTAAACTTGTGATATATACCAAAGCATGGTCATAATATACCTTTAAGTGCGTTTTAGATTACGATATTGGCTCATAAAATATGTTTGTAATACATAATAATCATGCATGTCTTGCCTTTCGTATATCGTTCAGCAATATTGTGAATTTGCATTATTATTGTTGTCTTCATTTTTAATTATGTATATTACATATGGTGTAGCATTCTCCCGTTTTCATTGGATATTACGATCACGTGTTTCCCATGTTATTTCATGCATCTGAAGCCTTGTTTCTATTTTTAAGTATATTGACGCTATGTTTCTATTTATATGCATATTGACGGTCAATATTAAAAACTTGCTAAAATAAGCCGTTTCGATCCGAAATTACTCAACGTGACGTTACGCATAACAATCATGGCGGAAAGAAGATTTGCAAGTACAATGTAGACTGAAATGAGTTTCATTTGAATTCGTATTTGTTCTAA